CACTAGTTTTATATTCCATCACAAAAACACTAGAATAAGGACGAAGACTGGAGACATAAAACTGGTTCAATTATTATGGACGAAACCACCTCATGCTTTTCCTGGTACTCGGACATGTCAATGCGGATGAAGCCCTTCTTGGTATCCTGCTGCATGTATGCGGCAACCTGTTTAGCCAGCTCCGTCTTACCAATTCCAGAAGAACCAAGAAAAAGAAAGACGAGTGGATGGTCTTCGTCATACCAGCCGTTCTCTTTACGACGTATGGCTGGAGAATATAAGGAAATTAAAGCAAGTTAGTCCCCGTAAAAAACTGGAGATAAAAAGGCAAGATTGCTAGCTAGATAATCACCTTGGTGAGCCCCAAGTCATGAATCAAGATAGAAAATTATTCTACGAGTAACTTCAAACTAAGATTAGGTCAAGTAAACTCAAACTATCTAACCTTCCACACGCGTAGTCTTTGAAATAGAATAAGAAAATAAATTATTTTGCCGGTCTACTTGCATGAATGAAAGTAGTTAAATATAGAAAATGGCAGTTTTTGAGAATATTTATGATTTAGAGCTTAAATATAATGAAACAATGGGAGACTGAAATTAATTCAACCAGGATCGGCCTAGAAATATCATCGATCCAAGTGTTATCACTTAATAATCAGTCTATAAATAAGTGATAAGATTAGCCAGTTCATTCAATTCTACTTCTTTTGAGAAGCAAGGATGCTGTGACAGGAGAGCAATAAAGGAATTTAATAAAGAAAATCAGTAGATTAAAAAAATTTCAGATCTATACATGTTTAAGGGAATCTAATAAATCATGTAACATAAAACTGCAGCATCTAGAGAATTAAACCTTTGTATGTCTCACCAGAGCTGACGGTTTTTATCGCTGACTCCTGTCCCACGATTACCTTTCGGAGTCTGTCCTCAAGAGGAAATAAGCGTCTGGATTCATGTTCTCTTTTAGCCTTTTTTAATGCAAACTAAAGGAAAAATGAGAATGACAGATAAAGAACGAATATCAATAAAAGGCACATAAGCCAAACAAGTTAATTGAAAAGAATAGACTTTACTGCCGTTACCTCAGCAACCAGAACGTTGTGATGCAACAACCATCCGTAAACTTTGCAATGGCTTCTGCACGTTAGTAGCAAAAAAGATTACAACAAAAGGAATATAAGGCTTTATGAGGCTATTGCCTCCCTAAATTCCTCCCCATTCGAGCTAAATTGTAGAATCAAATTCGCCTCGGTATCCTTATCACCACATTGAGGACTATAAAATGAGTCACGAGATTCGAGCGATAAATCTGCCACCCTGTCAACCCACGAGTGCCAGTGGGCGACGAGGCAGAAAAGAAAAGTGTGTATAAACTAGCATTTAATTTAATTGATGTAGGTGAGACACTAGTATTTATGTAGAATTGTGTGAATAGGTCCTGGACGTACCGCTCTGAGATCTTGATAAACCCCTGATGAGCTTTTATTCGTCATGTGACGGACATCGTCAGAGCAGGACACCATGCCTAACACTAATTCATCAAAACACGAAGGCAATAAAGATGGCGGGCTTAAAATCTACCTACTTCTTGTAGTCCATTTTGGTTCCCTTACTAAGGTATCTCATCTTTTGGTTGGATATCCTATGCTATGTCTAAATTTTTTCTAAAAAATTAAGTTCAGTGGTTGCGGATGACATATAAAGTGAATGCAATTGTGACAGAACTGCATTCTCCCCTAAAACACCTAGACATTTGATCCTGTAGTGTTAGCGCATGCGAGTTCGCTCCATTGCATGCTTTTTGTGTGCATGAATCCTCTTGAAATGTGTGTGATATAAGAATCAAAAGAAGATTCGAGCCTAATCAAGCCTTCTCCTCTTGCTCGGTGGTTTTACTGGTCGCCCTCTCTCTTTCTAATCCTATCCAACAGCCACAAATAATTTCTACTTATATTTCTACTCACTCCTTTAATTCAGGGCGTTGGCTGGTTTGTTGATATCTATCGACTCCATAATCGTTCGCTTGCTGGTATTGTCCCTATATCCAGCTAAACGTTTGACACTAGACCAATTTATTTGGTATCCTGTGTGATTTATGTGTCCGGCCAATTCCGATTTTTGGACCCACAGAACTTTGCAAGTTGTTTACTGTTCAGGTAGCCTTGTGTGGGCCTACAGGTCTATCCCACATAAGCGATACCACGTGAACACAAAATCTTTTAAGATTCCGATCTGGAGAATAGGTCAGAATAATCTAGAAAAAGATGTAAGGCCGAGGAAAGTGTTATTTTCTTTTTATAAATATATAATGTGAATGACCTTAGCTTATATCTAATTAGGAGTGCTGGGATGAAGGCGAAGCCAAATATACAGTCTAGATCGGATATGGATTCTTACTGGAAGGTAAAGCTAAGAGAAATTCAACGACGTTGTGAGTCCTTTAAATTACTTCCTCGTTAGAAATTCAATTATCAATACATCATCGAACGAAATAAACTGACTCATGTTCATAACTAAGATAAAATAATTAATTCAAAATCTAATAAACCGAAATATTTTAGCTCTGCTTCGCTAATATTTACACGCTTCTTAAGAAAGCTCGGCTCGTAGCTAAAACTAGGTTGTTGATTCATGAAAGAAAAAATAACTTTATTTTTTGTATAGAAGTCACCTTTGTCTTTATACATTCGATTTATTTTTTGTGCTCATATTTAGTGTATTTAAGAAAAGACAGCGGATAGTGGAAATTAATTTATTCATAGAATCTATTCCAGAATAGAGATTCATAATCCACACGACTCTTTTAGCTTTGAGTACTAAGGTATTGGCTAAACCAATTCACTAGCACCAATATCTATAATAAAATAATTCTGTTATGATTTGGTCTAGTTCAGACAGATCTGGTATTCAAATATGACAATATAGAATTGCTCTCTTTAAGTAAATTCCAATAGTTTTAGGCTTATTAGATATTTCTTGGTTATTGGCTTTCAAGTTAAAATTCTTATTCGAAAATAAGAACACAAGTCACTCCAGATCGTTTAGTGTGAATAGTGAAGTATCCTACAATGTAAGGAATTAAACTGCCAATGCTACATCAATATAATAGGCTTAAAAAGTCTTTTATCTTTATAAACAAACAATGTATCTTACGTTTTGTTCTTCTTGTGTAAGCAATGTGATAATCTCAGGATCTTTTGCGTACATAACGGCCCGATGACCCTTTTCATTTACAACACTTGGATCTGCTCCTATGAAAAGAAGATTTATTGATATTTATCAATGACCCCAAACATGTATAAATAAAACAAAGTAAAAGTCGAAGGAAGTTCGAGTTGTAAATATTGTTGACTAAGGAGTACCGATGCACACATTAAATTAATTACTGAGTAAATTATCTTGATAAGCTAAAATTAGAAATAAATTAGGACAACATTAAACTTCCCACAAGTTTTCCATTTTAAGTGGGGCTTCAAGACTAGCAGTAAATGTTGTATGAGAGCTGTATTCCCCCTATTTCGTTCGAGATGATGAAGAACTGATAGTTGAGTTTTCCCATAATGCTATGAGTGAGCCTCATATTTTAATAAACTTTCACATAGCTATGATCCCATAAGGCATTCTCATCCAGGATGGACTGCAATTTGAACATTGCCTAGGTCTCATCCACACCCTAGGCGATACTCAAACCATGGTAGTGCAGCATACAGTTTGACACATCAGACACTACGCCAAATTGCTACGAATAGAATTTGCTCACAGACACAAGTGGATTTCAAGGAAGGACATGTAAACGGCAAGGTAAGAATACGGCTCTCATATCAGATAAACTGATAGTCTCGAAACCTTACTTATAATCGAAGGCTTATGGGAATTTTTAAGTATGCGAAACACTCATTAATTACCTGATGAATGCATATATCTGTACTCGACTTTACTCACTTCATCTATTATTGTTTGTATAAAGTTTTCCGTTTATTTTTATTTTTTTCTTGGTGGTACTTAGCCGTCTCGCCACATTCAAGGATGCAGGTGGGTCAGATGGCAGATGACTGCCAAGACAAGTCAGGTACATCAAAAATAACATTTTTTATGGCGGGACTGTAGAATAGACAAATTTGAGTCACCCTGTGTGGTTGATTTATGAAGGTAGAGTTGAATTTTCTCATAATAAATTTAGCAGGCCTTACGACTTTAGAAAGGCCTAGATAAATCTGGTATCTAAAAGTGGTGTGGCAGAGTAATAACAGCTCGCCTCTAAGCGCATGAACTGAAGCGAAGTTGAATTTCCAGGAAACTCTGAATAAAATCTTCTATGGAGCAAGTTGTATTGTGATACCGACTGATTGCACTAGAAAAACCCAAACAAGCCCCCAAATCACTCCAGGCGACTTCGAATGATTTAAGTTCTAACATTAGACAATTTTGAGTTGTGGCAGACAATTGAACTTAACGTAATCTGGACTATGCCTGTAGGCCTAATGAAAGAATACGAATAGAAAAATATGTAAGCCAAACACCCATCGTATGTAAGCTAGTCAAGGGAAATATAGTAACGCAACAAAGGATACAAGACTCGTTATTCGTACAATAACCTAGATATCGACTATATATAGGGATATACATTTGAATCTTTTATCTTATGATTTATTCATAAAACATAAATAGGTAAGTAGATCGTAAATATGAATACCAAGATGGTGTGGCCTTCTGTTTTGTAACAGTTTCCTTAGACTTTAAAGTATTGGTTC